GTCATGGTGTCGGGCACTTTCGGTACAGTCTGTTTCAAAACAGTTGTCCGAGTTGATTTGCAGAGGTTCTCAAGCAGTTTGAATTTTTTAAGCTTGTCTACAAGTTAATACTAGTTATTGAACATATTCGAGTCCTATCCATATTCATCGTCTTGCAGGGCCGCAATCGGCATTACTTTATTTTATAGAGTTGTCGTTTTGCTATATTTAATCCTCCTGTTACTTCTGGTCGGCGTCTAATTCTTTCCCGGACGTACGAGTGCTTATTTCACAGCTCCTTTGGTCCGTTGGTCCGCTGCCTGTTTTCGGGTAGTCAGACCTGCGGAAGGACTCGTCTTTCTTGTTCCCGTTGCTGTGAACTCCATTTTGCTAGAACTGATGGTCCGCTTGCAACCGAACGAGTGAATCCCATTTGTTCTTTGTATGCAGCTAAATATTTCTAACTGTCATCTAGCAGTTTCCTCGAAATCTATGATGTATATCGAGTGCCCCGCGAGCTACCTGCAATTGTTTTACATTTGTCGTTTATTTGTGCGAAATTTGTTCTTTTTTCATTATGTAGCTATCCGATGAGGAATATACTTTTCACTAGTAGGAGACCATCTAACTGCGGTTGGACTTATGTCAAAAAAACCTGTTTATGCGGTCCATGTACATATAGTTGCCACCTCCACTACTTAACCCCGTTGCTTTCGTCTACACTCAAGGTCTACCTAGGCAACCCCAACCAGACTAAGGACCCTGCCGGTCCGGATTCGGCGGCTCCCGTCGGTAAAAGACAAAGACAGAGTAGCCAGTCAGGCAGTCTGAGCTCGCCTAAGCGCGCTGATACGGCTTCACCTGAGACCAAAATATCGCGTTCGAGCGCTAAGAAGACCACCAATTCACACAAATCCCGTCGCCTTGGGGCTAAGGCTGAGGATGATGATGATGAGGAGGCGGCAGGAGACAAGAGCAATGGTAGCAGCAGAAGCAGTAGTGAAGATGACCTTCTGACTGCCGCCTCAAAACGCAAGCTGCCGGTCTCCAGCCTGACCAGTTCCTCCACCAAGCCCAAGAAGAGCAACGGTGAACGTCAAAGCACCACCGCCACTAAGCGACACTCTGTGGCCGCCTCTCCGCCACCACCACCATCCTCGCATTCGAAAAAATCCTCCTCCAGCCTCTCCAAGTCCTCCACAGGTCACCAGCATCACGGGACGAAAGAGCGCAAATCTGGCCGTTCCACCGGCACCTCCTCTTCCTCAGCCGCCAAACGTGTCAAAACTGAGACCGAGGCTGAACTGGACAGCGGTGGAGAGCTCTACCACTACGACACGGAGGAGTGCTCTGCCCGTCCCTGTAAGCACCCTCAGGACGTGGCGATCGACTGGATTCAGTGTGACAAGTGTTCCAATTGGTACCATCAGGTCTGTCTTGGCCTGAGGGCATCCGAAGCCAATGTGGATGTCTATTACTGTCCCTACTGCAAGAAGAACTAGGTGTTCCTACCGAGTTGCTTTGTGCGTGCCTGACTACGGATCTTCTGTATATATATATTCACACAACCAGCGTTCCTCTCGCTGCCCACCCCTCTGCTCTCCTCTATTGGATACATCATGTCTGCATCTTAGCCTGACAGTGCACAGACATGTCTTTGACCCCCAGTGGTCCCCGCGCCTTTCCTACCCACCCCCCCCCTCCCTCAAAACCAATCTCTCTCTTTGCAAGTACGATGTTGCTTCTATCCTCTCCTCCTCCTCCTCCTCCACCACCAACTCTAACCTTTTCTCCACTTTGCATTTTAACCAAGCATATGTTAAAAACACACATACTGGTCGTGTTGTGGTTGACCACTCACTCCTCCCCCACCCCCTGCTTGGTCATCTCGCAGATAGGTACCTTGGGGATCTCCCCGCTCCCTCTTGCATATATACCATCATCATCATACAACCCAGCCCGCCGGGGGGACCCATGACCACCATCCAGTAAACGATGACAGCTCGGGCCCATCAAGTCGACTCCCTTTGTTTCTACGACTTTTACCTCCCCTCCCCCTACCCCGCAATTCCTAATGTGCATGCTCACTATCCCTCTCTTTTTTTCTACACATACGCAGACTGTGTGCCTGTGTCGGTCCGTCCGCTGGCGACACTGCCGCCCTGTTTTCCATTGTTTTGTTACTCAACCCCCCCGTCGTCCTCCACTACTGCTCCACCTTCCCCCCCTTCGAGAAACACTCGTGCAGACGCGTTCTAATGCTTTGCGCTCTCATCCGTAGTACGCCTTGGAGC